ACTGGTTTACAAGTCATCTGCATGTTGCATGTGCACAGGATGTTATGACTATTAATATACTAATGTCACTCAGTCAACAAACTTTCAAGCAAATTGTATATGAAGAAACTTAGAAACGGATTTCGATCAGTTCAGAAAGTAAAATATGCATGTTGAGCCTCCAAATTTTGGTATCGATGAGCCCAAGCTGTCTGGTACGATTACACGATAATGCTCCTTCGCAAATAACCCTTTATTTTTTTTWTSYWWTTTTTTTAAARAWTTTTAATAAACAGCAATACAATAATATAACAAAAAAAAATATCACAAATTAAATAGGTACATTATCCTTRAATTAGCTTAATTTACAATAATATTGCATTACATTATGGTAAAGGAAGAAAAGAAAAAAAAGATACAACAAAAATAAAACAAAAACAAGCATAGACAAAGATTTATACTGAAATTAAATAAACTAAAATTCCCTGTCGTAATTGTACAAAAGCTCTTTGGAAACAAAAATTACAAATAACAAAGATATTACATAGTGAACTGACAAATATAGGTAACACGTAAAAGATGTAATAGCCAGGAAAAACTGTTAAGCTACATCTGAAAGAGTCCAGCATACATACACTGTGCACTTTAGGGGGTTTTAATTTCCTGATCTAGATAATTTGTGCTATTCACAATCCACATGGGAGCTATTGTGAGAAACTTTCAGCATTTCTAYAGGTATTTTACTTAGTTGGAGGAGACTAATTAAGATTCAAGTATAATCTAAATATCGTAGTCAATGAAATAAAACAAATGATTATTCAATCTAGGAATTATCAGCTAGATTTTCGAAGATATATTTATATATTAATCATGGCCTTATATTAAATATTAGAAGTATATAAACGATAGAAATACAAAGTGTGTACTTATCTAGTCCACTAGTACGCCGTCTATGAAAAGTTTATATGGTTCTGCTCTGCTGAAGGCTGCTTTCTGGCCGTTTTTCCTTGCTTGCAGCATCTTRGGGATAAGTTTTTTCCTTATTTCGATAACCTGTGGTGGTAGGTCAATTTCCATGCCAAAACYGTCTTCTTTGCTGAGCTCAGATCGTCTTTCGAAGAACCGCTCAYRGTCATAGTAGCAGAGAATCGTGCAATAATTRGTCTAGGYTGCCCTTGTTTACGGCGAAYGGTCCTATGGACTCTTTGGAATTCGATTTCCCAGGCATTATCGATGTTGAGTTCATTTTCCATGAAGTTATAAAGGGCATTTTCAAMATTTTCGTCCCCACTCTCTGGAATTMCATAGAATCTAAGATTTTCGYKGCGAGTGTAGGTTTCGTGTTTTAGAAGTTGTAGGTTAAGCTTYGACATTTCTTCTTTGCAGGATTCATTTATTTCCTCTATTTTCTGCTTTTCTTGTGCTATCGTCTTGTCA